GACAATCTCAGAAGAGAAGACAACCAGCAGCTGGGGGACTAGGAAAGGATAACTGAAGAAGGTAGAATTTGAGCTGATTCTTGAAGGAAGCCAGGTGGTAAAAGTAAGGAACCTAAAGGATTCCAGATATAGAGGTAACAAGAGATAGAGATAGAATGTCACATTATAGGGGCAACAAGTCAGCCAGTGAAGTTGGATCAGAGTTCATGAAGAATAGTGAAATGATAAGAAGACTAGATAGGTAGGAAGTGGCCCATTTAGGAAAAGCTTTAAATACCAAATAGGGAAGTTTCATATTTGATCTTGAAGGTAATAGGAGTTCTACTGGAGATTATCTTCTCCCACAATATCCTCCTTTACTCTCACCTTGGATGGAGCGGTGTGGCCCTTCTCCTGGTCAAAACCGACCCCTCAAAATGTACCCTTGACCCCATCCCCTTTGATCTTCACCAGCAGATTGAACCCACTGTAATTCCCATTTTCATTCTTATCTTCAGTCTCTATCTATCTACTAGCTCCTTCCTTGTTGCCTACAAACTTATCCATGTCTTTCCCATTCTTAAAAAAAAACTCTTCTTCCCTCCTTAAAGTCCTTGAGAAAGTGTAGACACCTCCTCCACTTCCTTTCTTCTCACTCTAAAGTTTCTGCAATATGACTTCTGTCCTAATTGTTCAACTGAAACCACCCTCTCCAAAGTTACCAATGGTCTCTGAATTGCACAATCTAACGGCCTTTTCTCAATCCTAATCATTCTTGACCTGTCTAAAGAATTTGACTGTTAAGTCACTTTTTCTTCCTAGATTACTCTTTTCTCTCTGGGTTTTTGTGATTGCTTTCTCCTAGTATTCCTCTTGTCTGCCTGACCACTCCCCCTCCAATCACCTTTGCTGGTTCTTCATCCATGTCCAATGATGGAAGGGAATAAGCATTTGCTACTATGTGCCAAGCACTGTACTAAGTGCTTTACAAATATTATCTCATTTGATCATAACAACCCTTGGAGGGAGGTGCTACTAATACCCCCTTTTTACGGTTGAGAAAACTGAGGCAGACAGAAGTTGTGACTTGACCAGGGCCACACAGTGTCTGAGGCCAGATTTAAACTTCCTGACTCCAGGCCCAGGGTTTTATCCACTGTACCACTAGGGGTATCCCCCGAGGCTCCACCCTATTCTGTTTTCTATTTGCCCTCTATACTATCTTAGTGATTTCATCAATCAATAAACATTTATTAAGTACTCGTTACTATATTCCAGGTACAGTGCTAAGCATTGGGGATACAGAGAGTCTCTGCCCTCAAGGAGCTCACCAGAATTCAGTTTTCATCTCTATGCAGATGATTTCCATTGTGTCTTTTGTACTTTAAGAATCTGGTATTTTATAGTAGTGTATAGTCTGCAATTAATCAACAAAAATATAATATAAACACAGATAATATCTCTCTAAGAAGATCTCTTCATTTTTTTGAACTGACACACATTGAATGCACAATTTTAATTCATTACAGTAAAAATGTATTACAAAAGAGGAAACTGCCCCATAGAATAACCAAGAGTCTTGGTTCATAATCTTTTTTTTTTGCTTTAAACAAATATAACCAGATCCTAACTAGGAGGCTAATTTTGTGACTATACTGTGATTCTTTTTTTCACCTTTAGCTACCATAGAAAAGTACCTTGAAAACTCCCTTCCTCTAAATCTGGTCCCTCAGTGTGGAATGATAAAGTTTCAAGGAATCTTAGAATTTGAACCTACTAGAGGGCAGATACAGAGTAACCCAGATCTGTGACTGAAATCCATTAATTTGTGTACTTTATCTTTCTTAGGTTCTCTTCAAGCAGCAGTATTAATTTGTAAATTATCTTAATGCAACTATGAGATAATTAAATTAGGTAGCCAGAATTAATTGCTAGCAATAATTGAAGCCCAGATGGATGTGGCTAGTTTGTGGTGTGAATATAAAAGAAAACTCTAAATCACATGGTTCTTCACTAAATCAGAAGGATTTGAAAAATGAGATCTTCGAATAAAATAATGAGCCCACAAAGGAATTATTTACATCTGGTCTCCAAACTTGATGTAAATAAATCCACAACAATTAGCACTATGCTTTATATAGGGGAAGTGGTCAAATAAAATTTGAACAAATGAAACTTCTGGTGTAAATGAAACATTAAAATTCAGCAAAATAGAAGACAAATCCCCCTTAGGTGCTGGTTGAAATAGAAAGGAAGCCATTTCATCTTAATTGAAAGGTTCAGGTTATTAAAGCCCCTAAATTTCAAATGGAATAAGAAATTTAAAGTCATAAAAAATAATCCAATTATATTCTGAATCAGATAGGCTACTTTGAAGGGTCCCCTTAAATTTTCAGGGCTAAAAAAAATGGCCTTCTAACATGTAAATTTATTTTATAATTTATTTGAATATCCCTTCATAACTTTTGTGTAAAAGGATCAGAAACATTATAGTCTGATGAATTAATTAACAAATGGATATTTGCGGTCAGTCCTATTAGGTGCTATTGAGGTTATAGTATCAGAGATGGTCTCTGTCCTCAAAGAGCTTTATATATATATATATATATATATATATATATATATATATATTATTTGTTTATATATATATATATATATATATAAAATACATACATATATGGATGTATGTAACATATATATATGTTAGGGGTAACAAATGACATAAACAAAATTGTAAGTATAACAATATAAAGTGATAGATTGTGTGCTGCAGTTTATAAGAGTTATTGGAATGCAGAAGAAAGGAAGGAGTTTAATTAATGGAAGGCTTCACGAACTTTATCCGGGTCTCCATGATAAGTAAATTAGGGAGACAATAAGGTGAGGAGAGAAACAATGCATTCCAGGCAACAAGAATAATTTGAGCAAAGGCATGACAGTCAGAAGGGGGGAGGGGAGGTGTGAAGCTTCTAGACAAGTCAGTTTGGCATTTAAAGTCCTTTGCAGTCAAGTTCCAACTTTCCTTTCCAGATTAACTTTATATAACACTATGTAGTACTCCCCTTTGCCCACCCTCCGCTTCCAGTCAAATCATCTTACTTGATATTTCCTAAACTTAGCATGTCCCACATGACTGGAATACAAATACACCCCCCTTCACCCCCACCTCTTACAATCCCCAGTCTTTTCAAGACTCAAACCCTTTTATGGGAAGCCTTTCTCTCCTCCCTCAAATTATATTGTATTACTTCATCTAAAAGACTGTGTCCAGAGTGTGAGATTCTAGACTGTTTTTTCATTTTGTTTCTGCAATCCCAGCACCTAGCACAGTGCTTCTGTACAAAGCAGGTACTTATATATGATTTTTAGATTAGGAAAAAAAAATTAGGCAAGACTAGAGGAGAGGACACCCTGAGAATGTGAAAAATAAGATTTATATATATATATGTGTGTGTGTGTGTGTGTGTGTATGTATATATATATACATATATGTGTGTGTGTGTGTGTGTGTGTGTGTGTGTGTATGTATATGTATAGAATAAAGGCAAGGTATGGATGGACTTGAAAGCCAAGCAGAGAACTTGAAGCAGCAGAAAATAGAGAACCATTAACAGTTTCTGAGCAGGAGAACTGATGTGGTGAAAGCTAGCATATAGATTGGTGGGGGAGATGGGGAGGGAAATCCCTTAGGAGCAACTGAGAACAGCCAGGAGGGCTGCAGCAATCATTCCTAGAATATGATGATGGTCTGAGCTGATATAGTAGCTAAAGAAATGAATTGAAAAGAAAGAATATGAAAGACATTGCAAAGAAAAAAATAAATGGAACTTCATGACTGACTAGATAGAAGAGATGACAGAGCCAGATGAATCAAAATAACTTCAAAATTAGAGGAGTCTGGAATGAAGAAATAGCTTCAGGTAGAGATATTTTTCCTAAAGAGAATCCCAGTAAACAACAAAGATTGGGGAAGGAGATTAGGATTGAAGAAGCTGCATAGCAATAGCTTGTAGATCCACTAGACTTCAAAACTTATAATCAACTACAATCTACTGCTTGGGTAACCCTGCTTTAAGAAATGGGTGAGTGTTCATGTAAATACATAAGGCACGGGACAGCTACCTGCCACAGTGAGCAGAGTACAGAGTACTCTGAATCCTTTGGGATTTGCTTAGAAGGAAAGGGTGACGTGTGGGAGTTGACATCCCACTGCTAGACTGCCACAGCAGTTCCGGAAAAGAATTTTTCCCAGAATAATAAGAAAGCTTCCCCGCCCCCAGCACAGAAAGACCCGTTGGTAGGGGAGGACGACTCTCAAACCCTAGGATCACACTTGCTCAGTTGGCTTCTTGTTCTCACTGGCACCTCAGCCTCACCACTACCACCAGTTTAGCTGTGTGGACAAGGACAACATGAGTTAGGAAGTCAGGAAGCCTGGAGTTAGGAAGACTGATCTTTCTGAGTTCAAATCTGGCCTCAGACACTTACTAGCTGTGTGACCTGGGCAAGTCACTTCATCCTGTTTGCCTCAGTTTCCTCATCTGTAAAATGAACTAGAGAGGAAATGGCAAACCACTCCAGTATCTTTGCCAAGAAAACCCCAAGTGGGGTTCACAGAGAATCAGACTCAGCTGAACAACAACATAAGGCACACTCTAATTCCATTGTGGAAATGAGCCGGGTAATGATTTCATAATCTGATATTTTCTTGCTACAAATTACATACAGTCAGTCCTCAGTTCATTACTGGTTCTTCCTTGTTGACAAAGGCAGCTAGCTGGCACAGTGGATAAAGAACTAGGTCTGGAGTCAGGAAGACCTGAGCTGTGCAAGTCATTTAACTTTTGTTTACCTGTTTCCTCCCTGTAAAATGGGAATAACAACAGCACCTACTTCGATGAGTGGTTGTAAGATTCAAATGAGATATTTATAAAGTGCCTGGCACATAGGAGGCCATATATAAATGTGTTCCATTCCTTTGTGGACTGATATGGAAATGAAAACTACAGTAACTTCCCTAGGTAGTTCCTTCCTGGTTCTGTGACCGGGGAGAAAAATCTGACAATCTGATGAATTTAAAAATAATAAATTCAGAGGTTAGAATTTATTATTTTTAAATTCATCAGATTATCAGAGATTGGGAGATTGGTGGGAAATAAGAGTACAAAAACTCCTGCCGTGTGATTATAGAAAAAGGCTAAACAGCTGCGCTTTAGTAATATTTAACTTTCAGATTAGATCGTGACGAATGAAATCCAAGGAAGACTTTGGTCACAGCCTACTGTAAGCTAGACCAGACAAGTCAATTGCCTTCCATTCCAGTCGTTATGGCAACCAGCGTCCTTGGTTACCGCTTCCCCAGGAAATCACAGAAGTCAGGGTTTCCTCAGCTATTTACAATGAAAGAACCCCCTGGTTCTGTGTTCTGCCGGGACTGGAGCATCCAGCACTGCCCGAAGGCCCGAAAATAAAAAGCCAGAGTAGTGAGAGTCTCCTCCTTGTCGTGTTACAGTCTGCAGCGAATCTCAGAACTGGAGGGAATCCTCAGGCGTCTACTCAATTCACAACTCAAGGAGTGGAAAAGGCAGTGGGTATGAAGTCAGAAGTCAGAAGACTAACTTGGGTTTGAGTCCCTGCTCTGTTAGGATCACATCTCTTGAACTGGAAAGGACCTTACAGATCATCTAGAATTATTCTAGTCCAAGCCGCTCATTTTACCGATGAGGAAACTGAGACCCAGAAAGTGAATCATTACAGTCTGACTCCAAAGTATCCAATGTCATGCTTTTCTGCATTACCTTGGGACAAGACACTGGGATAAGGTCATTTTCGGTGTGACCTTAGGTGAGTGAAGTCACCCCACCTCTCTGGGCTCTTTTCCTTGTCTCTAAAATGAAGAGGTCGTATATGATCCTTGGAGAAGAAGGCCCCTTCCAGCACTAAGTCCTGTGATCCTGCCAAGCATGTTTGCATCCCCTTGAAGGGAAGGCAGGGAGTGTGTATTTCCTCTAACTCAGACGCCTCCCCCCCACCGGGAATCTCTGCAGATAGGTGAGCCCCGCGATTCCTGTCGGGGGCTTGGACCCAAGCGACTCACATAGTAATCCTTGTACCACGTCTCCAATTTCTCCTGCAACATTCGACAGCATTCGTTGTTAACTAGTCTTCTTAGGCTGTCCGCCATGGCTGCTCCTTGGTTTTTACAAGTGTACGTCAGTTTTGGGAGGGCAGATGACAGGAAGGATGTTTTCTTTCTAAACGGGTGGGAAGGGGACCCTTAGAGTCCAAAAGGCGTTTCCATTCTTTACCCCCCGGTCTTCAGCACCTGCAGCCGCGGGATGCGAAGGGGTTGGGAAGGAGAAAGGGGGAGGGGAGGGGAGGTGTTCCGCCGCCCTCAGAAGCCTGCATCCGCGGCCCCTTAGGGTGCCCCTCCTGGCGCTGCCTAGACCACTGGTGCATATTTATACCCAGGCGATTATTAAACAAACTTTGACGTTTGCTTTGCTCGGCTGTCAAGGACGCCAGCGCGAAAGGGAGGGCTGATCTCAGTTGTAGCAACGCTTCCTCTTCGTTCCCTCCCTTCTCCTCTTTCCCAACCCTTCCCCACCCCCATACCCTGGCTCCTCAAGCCTTTCTGCTTGAACCTTTTTTCCTAGTTTAGAAGTCAAGACGGAGAACTCTATCCTGAACTTGCCTGTGATGCCGGGGCTGTTACTGTTGCTGCTGATGATTTTGGTGCTACTACTAGTGTTGCTGCTTTCTGAAGGGGAAAGAGAAGACCCACCAGAACAAGAATATTAAGATGAATTCCGACTGTCGACGGGAATTGACCCCGGAACCTGGATCCGGAAGATACTGTGGTGTAGAAAAGGCGTAACATGAATCTTGATCAAAAGGAGGGTCACCTACACTTTACTTTACAAAGCAGGAGCCACTAAAATCCAGAGCATGGGAACAGAAGTCCAAGTGAGAAACGTTCAAGTGGAACTTTTTACTCCTACATCCTAAATTCAGACTCTTCTCTCCATTTCAGGTGCTTGGTATTGGGAAAAAACACCATGGCCCTTATTAAGCACCAGAGATGCAAGTTTTATTTTACAGCCTAATCATTGGTTCAGCTCTTAGGAAGCACCTGAAAATCAGTATGTTCGGACCCATTCTCCATCCCTTCACACCTATGCTTTCTGTTTTGGCAGGAACAGTTCCTTGAAGTGTAAGGGGGATGTGGAAAATTAGAGCGACAGGGTTTTAATGAGGAAAGAAAATGTTTTAAGTTGCCATCTCAATATCCCTAGTGTTATCGTAGAACACATTAGGAGATACTTCTCTCAAAAGTTACTTCTAAACAGAAAAGGTTTCCAAATCTAAGCTCCTGTGAAATCCTAACATGAAAACTTTGGCATGAAACTAGAGGAGAAGGCAGATGTTACTTCAAAATCTAATTCAAATCCCTCTTGAGGTCTCCCCTCACTTAAGTCAGCAAATCTTCCCTCCAACTACTTAACCAATGGAATGAGCAAGACATTGTCTGTATGAATGGATTATGTCTCAGGAATCGCCTCCCTGACTGATCTAGGCAAAGTTGTCAGTGATGCACATGAAATCGCCATTGACCAAAAAGTTATAATCTTACTTAAGTTTTCTCTTGCCTTGTTTTTTGTGTGCAGATGGATGGCTTTGGGGGTTCCAAGATGAGCACACATGAAGAATAACTTCTCAGATTTGGAAGGTTTTAATGGTACATAAAAAATTAACTTATTTGATAAAAACCTCATTAATTCAGAGCCTACTTAATTCAAAAGCTGCGGTAATTAAGACAACACTTGGGCATTATTTGTTTAAAAAAGAATTTCCAAACAATAGTGCAGGGCAATTATTTTAATTAAGAAAACAAACTTTTCAAAAAGCTCTTTAGATGGCACACCCTTCTTATCTGATCTTTTAAGCCGGTTCCTCTGCTTAGTTAGTCTATTATTAATTTTGTTACTTTATGTACTTGAAAGTATTAAAACCATTTATTGTCAAATATTTTACAATTCCTATTCTTCACTAATTTAGGTCCCTACACAATTTGTTTGAATTGGTGAGGTTTTACCGTATGCAAACCCAAAGAACATTTTTAAATCCTTCTCTCTTCCTGATCTTTTTTTTTTGTATAGCACAAAGAACAGAATTATGTCCATATAGAAAAGACATATATATATATATGCTGAGGTTCATACTAAATACTATTTTTAACACAAATACACTTTTTGTAGGAGTTGAGAATGAGAGAAGTTAAAATTAGAAAAGATCTATAAAGATATCAACATTAACGATATGTCTCTTTAAAAAGGACAGTGTGTGAAAACAATGTAAATTTGGTGAAAACAAGTTTATTTGCCATGCAACCAGGACTGGCTTATTCATAGAAAAATTCAAAATATTGTAGATGTATGAACAGCACTCCTCAAAAAAATTTGTTCCAATTTTTTTTTTTAATGTGCTTTCCTCCATTCCATTGTTTAATAATCTTGAAATCCTCACAAATATCAAAGAGAAATGTCTAATCCTATGATAGATTAGTATCTTCACTAAACTGTTTCTCAGTCAAAATCTTAACATCCTCAGAGAAATATTGAACTAAATTTCACTACACTTGCTTCATGATAAAAATCCAAAATGGAACATGCTTTTTGTAATACGAAATGTCAGAAACTGCCTGTAGTACTAAGCACATCCTTATATTGAAGCAATACAAGGATACTCTCAAGGCCTCCCTGAAGAACTCTGGGATGCATTAGATGACATGGGTGACACAGCATGGTGTGCCCTCATCAAAGAAGGCACTGCGCTCTATGATCAAAGCAGAATGGCAATAGCTCAAAAGAAAAGTGAGATGCACAAATTTAGACATCTCCGCTCCAAATGTTCATGTGGACTATTTGTGTCCAACCTGTGGTACAGCCTTCTGAGCTCACACTGGTCTTATCAGCCACAGTCAGACACACTGTACCTGATGCCAGTATAGTGGTGCCATTTTGGTCCTCCTCAAGAAAGGACAACCACAAACTCAGCATATGCTGTCTTGTAATTTTAATTCTATTTTTATCTCTATTCCTTTTCTTCTCAAATAGATTATAAACTTCTTCAGGACAGGGTCAATGTTTTATATCTAATGCCCTTTGGAGTAGAAGATAAATAAATGTTCTCTCATAATGAAATTTAGAGATAGCAACAAGGAACTCAAAACAGATGAAATACTCAGTACAGGTTCTGTTTGGATAATTTTGCTCTAGTTCAGTAGTTTTAGAAAATAGATGTTTGTGTCTTAGTGAAGAGGAGGGTTCAATTCTGTTTTGAACTAGGTTGTAATTATCTGGGGGAGGGACTGAGACTCTGTAATTTAAATAAATCAATATTCAGCTTAGGTTCTGGACTGAGTAAATGAATATATCATCCATTCCAATTCAAGGTTGACAATTCAGTTAATGCAAAGCCTAGTTATAATATTGTTATCAGCCCACTTGTATTTTCTAATTAAAAAAACATAGAAGTGAATTAGATATTCTGAACACAAATTATTCTATGCTTTTTAATGGAACAGTTAATATTCCTAACTTTGTATACACACGTAAACAAGAAGTTGTTTTCCATACTGTTGTATACCTCTAACATAACTCAAGATCTAGAAATACCCAAAATACCTGAACCATGTAAAATCCAAACATTATACTTAAAGCTCTTAGTTTTTACACAAATGAATGTGCTACTACTGCATCAGGATGAACAATATTTTAGGAATATGAGATAAATATAAAATCCAGTACAGTTCCTATCTAAAGATATCTTGTACACTAATAGTGATGAGGCCAAGCAGTTTAAAATTCAATATGAATACAACTAAGACTTTTGGAATCCACATTTTTAGCTATCTTAAAGCAATTTAACTGAAGGGAATTTGACTGATTTATCTTGTCCTGCTTTAGAAGTGAGATTATTCAGACCACATTTCTTACTAATCTTTCAGGGAAATATGTATTTTATCCGTGACTTTTAAATCAAATATAAAGTTGAGAGTTAAAATTAAGAAATCATTCCAAATAAAGTAAATATAGTATACACAAGAGGTGTCAAATCCACTACCTAACCAGCATTTGACCAGAACCAGTTTAAGATGTTATTGGGAAATAATTAACAAAATAAATTATAATACAATAAAACAGATAATGTCAATATCTGGTTTCTAAGTATGCTGCCCCCAGGGATCCTTATGTATAGTTTGGTGGCCCTATTTTTATTTGACACCACTGGTATACACAAATGACAAAAGGAAAGATAAAGAATGAAAAGAATATGATTGGCTATTTTACCTCTGATGTCATAATCCTGGTAGAAAAGAAGTTAGAAGGAAAAGATGACATTCAGTTTATTGATCTTCCAATGCCATAGTTCCAACATCTAGCAGTGTACCATTTTTTTTCTGTAGAACAATTTAACATAGCATTACTGCACCATTTTAGCACATATAAATATGGTACAGTTATAGTGACTCATGCTACTAAAGATCTTCCAATATTATAACTCCAACATCTAGCTGTGAACCATTTTCTTCTGTAGAACAATTTAACATAGCACTAGTATACTCTGAGCACATATAAATATGAGATATTTACAGTGACTCATGTTACTAAAGAAGAAAAGGTCCAGTGTGTGATCTTCAAGGGCCAAAATTGTATGGTACACTGGAGAGAGTACTGGCCTGGGACTCAGAAGATCTGGTTTCCAGTCCTGGCGCTACTATGTCACCCTGTGATTTGGAGTAAGTCATCACCTCTGTAGACCTTAATTTCCTTATCTGTAAAATGAAAAGGTTGGTCTAGATGGTAAGGTCTCTTCCAGTTCTGATGTTTTACAATTCTGTGATAAGATCCCTACTGTCCAAAAGTATTTTCACCACCTCACTTGAAATTCCCACCTTACAGTAAAAGTTAACAAATAAGCAAAGAGCTCTGAAATTCAGAAGTCAAGGAAGCAGCTATGGAGTGCAGGGTATCAAGAAATTGTCAGGAGCAAGTCAATCCCTGAGAACTTCTCAGGTCAAAGCTTCAGTTGAGTCTATGGTATCTGGATATCAGGGACAAGTCAAAGATCTGAAAACTATGAGATCAAAGTAGAAGTGGAAAGAGGCAATCAGCTCCAACTAGTCAAGCAAAACAAAGGTTTAGATTCCAAAAGCACAAGGTAAAGCAAGGCAAGAGCACCAGAAATCAGAAGTCAAGAGTAAGCCTCATCCTAGGGAAAAGAGCTCTAGCTTTCCAGCCTCTCTTGATGAGCATTTACTGCCCTGGAGCCGAGGATGCTAACAAGAAACAATTATACTTTGGCCACAGAGATGTTATCATAGTACTGAGATCAAATAGCTGAGTCTTCCCAGACTTTTTCACCTTATTTGTTACTGCACATCTCACTTTTTAAAAGAGGACCATTAAACTATGATAATAGTACAGCTAGAAGAGTTTTTAAAGATCATGTAGTCAAACTCCCTCATTTCACATGAGAAAACTGAGTCACCAAGATGTTAGGTGACTTGCCCAAGATTCCACAGCTGGTTATTAGATTCAGGATTCAAATCCATGTTCTTTGACCCTTAAGTTCAAAATTCTTCCTACTCCATCATCCATTAGTAAATACCTTTATGAGTCATTTATTTGTAAACTATATTTCAATTCTACCACAGCTACCTTATTTACCCCCCTTTTATTCCCGAATCCCTCCCCTCTGTACCATGAAAAGGTAAGGAGGAAGCCTAGGCTCATGAAATATATCAGGAAAGGGGAAAAAAAGGTTTTTCTCCAACCTACCAGTCCTCCACTTCTGAGTGACAGACGACTACTTTGTGGTAGTAGCAGAAGGAACTATGGACCTGGAATAGAATGATAGGCTCTAAAAAACCTAAACTGAGCATTGTGTAATGATAATAAGAAAGCTTGGCTCCAAGAAGAGATGAGAATTAGGACCCCTCTCATTTGCAAGGGGAAGAGGAAAGGGAGGGTGTCGGTTAGTTTTTCTGACCTTTTCTTTCTAAATCTGTCACACGGTACGGGTCTCTGGGAAACAAAGGTGAAATAAAAATAAGGTGTATCATTTTTATTGTATTTTTTTTTACGAGTCACGGGGTTCTTGTTCTAGGCACCTGCACTAACTACCCCTTTGACCAGTGGTTCAGCATCCTCAAAGTAAAACTGGTGGGGGGGGGGAACTAGGTTATCTCTAAGGACCCTTCCACCCTGAGGCTGATGAGGGTGGTCCACACATGCCCGGGGGTCTGACAGCGTCGCTGCCCTGGGGCATAACCAGCCCATAGGAGCCAGTCTATTTTGTGTCTGTCCTGAAGGAGTTCAACCACCTTGTGAGGTTTAGTATCTATCTGGGGCCTTCTCAGAGCCCCTCAGCCTCACTACCCAGGCCACCCCGGCATAGAAGGGTGAGGGGACGCCCGGCGCAAGGCTAGGGAGCGGGAAGAGGCCTCCGGCAAGGACCTGACTATGGGGTCGCGGGTCGGCCGAGGGGCCGGGGCGAGGCTCCTCCGCGCTGCTGGTCCGCGACGCCACGGCCCGTGCGCAGCGGGGGTCTGCGCGCACGCGCCGCTCGCGCTCTCGCCACCGGGGCGCAGGCACGGGCGCGGGCGCGGGCGCGGCGCAAGCGCGGGGGCGCGAGGCGGGGGGCGGGCGCTGAAGGAGCTGCCTCGGGCGGGCGGCGCCGGGCAGGGGGGAGCGGGAGAGGGAACATGGCGGCGACGGCGGCGACTGCTGCAGCAGCGGAGCAGGTCAGTCCTGTGAGAAAGGGCGCGTGGAGGCGGCCTGGCCCCGCAGTTGTTACCTGGGACGGGGAGGGGGTCGGGACGCCGCTTTTTCCCCCCGGGACCTGCCGCGCCTCCCCCGGGGTCTTGTGCAGAGCCAGCCTCCGTCCCCCGGGTGGGGGTTGGGGGGGAACAGCCGTCAGCTCTGCGGGGGGGGGGCTCGGAGCTGAGCCGCGAGGCCTCGGGGGGAGAGAGGGAGGGAGCGAGCCGACCCCGGGGCCTGGGCGTCGGGGTGGGGGGCGGGGGCGGGCCTTTTACTGGAGGGAAGCAGGTAAAAGTTGCGTGTAGATGTGGAAGCCCTGCTACCGGACACTGCCCTTTATCCTCGGCTCCGCCACCATCAGCTGTTCGCGGGATGTCAGCCTGCCCCCGCACCCGGTCTTGTCATTCCAGTCTCCACCCTCCTCCTCCTTCTCAGGTTTCAGAGACTTAATCCCAGCCCATGAGGGGATCCTCCTGGGCTACAAATAAAGGCATCATATATCTCCTAATATGTAGTTTAAACTTTCAAGAAGATATATCAGTATATTAGTACATATATTATTAACCTGTTGTTTTTCTGCATGGGCCTGCAAAAATAATCAGCAAAGGAACTTAAAGCCTCCCCCAACCTGTTTTTCTTTACAAAAAAATGTGATTACTATAGAAAAATGTAATCATATTTAGCATTGCTGAAAAATGTGAAACCTCTGATCATTAATCCCATGTCATATTAAAGCCACTAAGTAGCTCCATGGCTGATTTTTAACTCTGTTCATAAAGAATTTGAGTACTTCTATACCATTTTGTTTGGTGATCTCATGAGCTCCCATAGATTCAATTATTATCTCTAAGCAGATAGTTCTTAGATTTGTCAAACCCTAACTTCTCTGCTGCCTTTTTGACATCTCAAAGATGTCCCATAGACATCTTAAACTCAACAAGTCCATAACTGAAATCATTATCTTTTCCCTCAAACCTTCCTCTCTTCCTAACTTTTATATTACTGTTGAGAATACCACCATCTTCAGCCTGTATCAGATTGCATGCTGTCCTGGGGAATGGGGAGGAGAGAGAAGGGGAGAAAATTTGGAACTCAAAATCTTATGGAAGTGAATGTTGAAATCTAAAAATAAATATAATAATAATAATAATAAAAGGAAATCCATCTTTTTTCATTAATGATGAGCCTCAGATTTACAGAGCATATCATTTTGGACTTTAAGTTGAGCTTTTTTGCTCTTCAAAACACATTCCATTCCCTCATGCAATTTCTGGTGGGTATTAGAATAGTCTTATGTTATTTCAAATGTTTTGCTTTTATATTTAAAAATCTCCTGGTTACTTGCATATTTTGTTGTTTGCCAATAGAATTGTTCATTTTAATTACTATATGTCTTGAAGTTTGTGTTATATGAGCAGGCAATATGAATTCTTTCAATTGACAAAAAAAAAAAGAGGATACCACTATCTTCCCAGTCACCCAGACTCACAACCTAGGTGTCATCCTTAACTCCTCATTCTCTCTCCTCCCTCATATCCAATCTGTTGACAAGTTCTGTTGATCCTATCTTCAGAGCATCTCTTGTATATACCCCCTTCTCTCCTCTGACACTACCACCATGCTGGTGCAAGCCCTCATCACCTCACACCTAGACTCTTGGAATAGCCTACTGGTGGGTCTACCTGCCCCAAGTATCCTCACATTCTCCACTCAGTTCTCACCATTTTAATCCGTAAACTCCAGTGGCTCCCTATTACTTCTTGGATCAGATATAAAATACTCTGTTGGTGTGTTCAAAGTCTTTTATAACTTGGCCTCTTCCTGCCTTTCTAAGCTTCTTTTACCTTACTCCCCTCCATAACTGTGATCCAGTGGTACTGGCTTTCTTGCTCTTCCTTGAACATGCTACTTCACCTCTAGACTCCAAGCATTTTCTGTGTCTGTTTGGCATGTCTAGAACTCTCTCTGTCTCCTGGCTTCCTTCAAGTCTCAACTGGAAGCTTTTTTCTTTAGTCTTTTTTAGCTATACTTGCCTGCCAGTCAGTCAACAAGCATTTATTAAGTGCTACTATATGTAAGGCACTTTGCTAAGTGCTGGTGATACAAAGAATGGAAAGAAAAATAGTCTCTGCTCTCCAAGAGCTCACAGTCTAATGAAGATGACATTCTAACAACGATTTCCAAAAGTGATAGATAAGAAATTATAGAGATTACCTCAAAGGGAAGGCAGTAAGGTTAAGGAGGACTTGCAAAGTTGAGACTTTAGGTGAAATTTGAAGGAAGCTAAGATGAGTTGAGAAGGGAGAAGTTCCAGACATGGGAAATAGACAAAGAAAATGCTCAGAATGCAGAGGTGAAGGATCATATTCAAGGAAGAGCAAGGAGGCCAGTATCACTGGACCACAGAATATGTGGAGAAGAGTAGCATATAAAGAAGCTTGCAAAATATAGGAAGAGGTCAGGTTATGAATTTTTTATTTGATCCTAGAAATAATAGGGAGCCAGTAGAGATTGTTGAACAGGAGGGTGACAGCTGAGTAGAGAATGTATTGTAGTGGGGAGACTTGGGACAGGAAGGCCAACCAGCAGCCTTTTGCAAGAGTCCAGGTTTGAGGTGATGAGGGCCTACACCAATATAGTGGCAGTATCACAAGAATAAGGGAATTTATACAGAAGATGCCCTGAAGATAGAATCAACAGGATGGCAGTACCCTTGATTGTAGTTGGGTAGGTTTGAGGGAGAAGCTAATGAGTTCAATAATGGACTTAATTGAGTATAAGATGCCTGTGGGACATCCATTTGAGATGTCCAAAAGGCAGTTAGAGATGTGAAACTAAGTCAGCAGAGAGATTAGGATTAGATAAAAGAGATCTGAGAATCATCTGTATAGAGATGATAATTGAACCCATGGGAATTTATGAGATCACCAAGTAAAATAATATAGATGGGGGCAGCTAGGTGGTGCAGTGGATAGAGCACTATCCCTGGAGTCAGGAGCACCTGAGTTCAAATCCGGCCTCAGACACTACACTAGCTGTGTGTGACCTAGGCAAGTCACTTAACCCCAATTAAAAAAAAATAGTATAGATGGAGAAGAGAACCTAGGACAAATTCTTGGGGGAAACCCACAGTGAACTGAAGTGATACCCAATGAACATGACCCTTGTAACCAAAAAAATAAATAAAATAAAAACTTAAGCAAAGCTAACTGACATAATGACCGTGTTTGATCACATATGTAATGGTTCACACCTAGAGTCCCCCATGTCTCCACTGAAAAGAGGGAGATTTGCTTTATCATCTGTTCTCTGGGGCCAAGATGATCATTACAGTTGCTCAGTATCTGGCTTTGTTTTAGTGTTCTTTTAATTTAATTGTTAACAACATCATTTACATATATATGTGTGTATATATATATATATATATATACACATATGTATGTATGTATGTATGTATGTCTGTCTGTATGTATTCCTGATTTTGTCCTTTACAGTCTACACTGGTTCATAGAAATCTTTTGTATGTTTCTAAATTCCTTATGTTTGCTATTTCTTATATTTCATTATATTCATATACCACAATCTATTCAACCATTCTCTAATCAATAGGCATCTACTTTTGTTCCATTTTTATTATCTCAGAAAACGTACTGTGACTCTTATTACTTGTTTTCCTGCCTGATCTTAAATTTCCATGTTTTTTTCTCAGACATAATAGAGAGCATGTTTTTAAAAATGCCACGTTCCCTTTACTGATACTGCTTGTTGTAGTAGTATCTCCACTCTGCTTCTTTCTCCAGTATAAGCTGGCCTTTCCCTGAGCTCCCCTAATCTCTTGAGTCCTAGAGAACAGGAAATCTAACTTGGTCATCTCCTCTCCAAAAGCTCCCTCAATTTGCCTTCTGTTTTCTTTAGCAGTCTTTTTCCTCATGCTGGGAAGCCTGGATTTCATTTGAACATTCAGTTTCTCTTGTTCTTAGTTCTGTCACCAACTCTAAGTCACTGTCATAGTCATTTAACATCAGCACACATAAGTGAGTGGCGTTGTGGTAGAGTAGGCTCCTTCTAAGGGCTCCTTTGTTGGTCTTAGATCCAGGAATTCTCAGAGGGAAGGCAGTAAGAGGACCGGGAAAGGTCTTGCAGAACTGAGACTTCGGCTTGAACTTGAAGGAACCCAGGTGACGGAGGTGAGAAGGGAGAGAGTTTCAGGCATGTTGAATAGACATAGAAAATGCGTGGAGTCCAGAAGTGAAATGTCACGTTCAAGGAAAAGCAAGGAAGCCAATAGCACTAGATCACAGAATATATGGAGGGGAGTAAGGTATGAGAAGCCTGGAAAAGTAGAAAGAGGCTTGAGTTTATAGAACTTTAAAGGCAGAGGATTTTGTATTTCAATTCAGTGAGTATCCGTTAAGTACCTACAGTGTGCCAGGCGCTATGCTAGGTGCTAGGGATACAAACAGAAAAATGGGAGCAGGTCAAGCCCTCAAGGAGGTTATGTTCAGCAAGAACCCAGTAAAACTTGGCTGCATGTTTTGCCTCTGACGTTTATTAGCCCTATGACTCTGGAGAAGTCACTTACTCCAGATCTTTTAAGCAACCATCTAGGATTTAACTGATTAGTTTTTCTCACACTGATCCTTTTATTTATAAAAGGTAATGAACCATACAGACACATGTATACAAGTCCATGTATTAAGAGTGAGGGAAGGAGGAAATAAACTTTTTTTTAAACCAAGATATATACTAAGACTTGGTCAGTAAGCTTTTTAAATTGCTGTTAACCTTTTTTCCCTCACAGACTTCAGTTGTTCTGGGCTTTAGCTTTCTGGACACTATTTCCAGGCCACTTTTATTCATCCTTGGTTATATGTTTTTGTTTTCATCTTTTGTAAATGTCTTTTTAAAATCTGAACTCACAAGAGATCATCTTATAGCTACTTTGGGATACTTCCTCTTTTTTTTCTGAATTAATTTGTGATTGTGTAACCCTAGTATTAGAGGTTCCCTTAAGATATGACAACCTCAAGCCTGCTTTGTAGCTAATTATTTCCACCCAAATGATCCTGGTAACTTCCACCACTTTCTCTAATAAACACTCAAGATCTCAAGGCCTAAATTTCATCATAAGTTAAGAGAAATAGATGGGACTTGGATCAGAACCAACAATAATAATGATACCCATCAGTGAGCAACCCTCTACACACACACACACACACACACACACACACACACACACAGTACAGTCTCAGTCACATTCAGCATTACCCTTAGTAGGGCTCCTAGCCAGAGGTACCTTATCAGGTCCTTTTATCTATCTGTACAGCCTTGCTCTTTTTCCAGCAACTCTAAACAGATAGCAGTGATTGCTGTTTCATTTTGCCATGCTTTCCCATTTTTCTCAGCTCCCAGCCGGGGGAGGTGTCATATGTCCCTTTCTCTGTTCTGTTCATTTTCTAGGATTCTCATTAACCTCCAGCAGATGGTCCTCATTTATTTCTCTGGTGGATCAGTTCTCTAATGCAGCCCACAGGCAAGGACACTCTTGAGTCTCTCTCTCTTACCCAAATGTTTTTATAGCCTAAAGGCACCTTCAGACCAAAGTGTCTGTTTGTTTACACCTTATTTTGTGCACTGGCTCCACAGCCTCAGACCTTGTACTTTACAAGTAAGACTCTTCCTCCATCTCCATCTTGGATCATCTTAACTTATTGTCATGCCCTTTCTTTTCTGGTGCTGAAACAGAATACCTCCTATTTACATACTACTTCCTGGGTTTAGGAGCTCAGGGAGTACCCCAGTCATCAATTATTTTTCAGCCCCCACACAGGACAGTTATTCCAATTACCTGGAGCCACTTCCCAAAACATCTTAGAAGACTGAGACAGAAGAGCTATAATGTCATCTCTGACTTGCCCATTCATGTACTAGGAAGAAGAGGTAATCCCTATACAAATTTTCCTGTTATTGAAACTGCCTTCTTTCTAGTCACCCAGGTTCACAACCTCTGTCATCCTCAACTGTCCATTCCTACCCCATACATTCAATCATTTGTCAGATCTTCTACCTAAACATTTCTATGTCCACAACCTCCCTCAAATAAGCCCCTTTCCTCTACTCATTCAATCACCACCCTAGTTGAGGCCCTTAGTACTTCTCACCAGTCTCCCTACCTCAGATCTCTCCCTATTTAAGTTCATCCCTCATACAAACATCAAAGTAATATACCTAAAACACAGTTATGACCATATAACCTTCCTCCCCCCACACTTGATATAAACTCTTAACAACCCCCTATTACTCTAGGACGGATTATAACCTCCTATGTTTGGTATTTAAAGAATTTGGCTCCTTCCACCTTTCCTGTCTTTTCACGTATTACTCTCCTCCATACACTTCCTCCAAATACTACTCATTCTTAGGGCTCACCTCAAATCCCATTGTTCCATATGGTCATCCAAAGCTTTTATATCAGCTCACAGTTCTCTGCAGTTCAATGGCAAACTAGGTTTTGCCTACAGTATTATAGGACCATAGGCCTTTTTTTGTGTGTGTGGGAGGCAATCAGTGTTGAGTGGGCATAATATAGCAAATTATAGAGATGAACCTTCTACTTTATATTAATTAATAAAATAGAGTGGCTGACTGCTATAGATGCAAGTTATACAAAATCTATTTTTTTCATTACTAGTGAAAATTCCAATTGGTAGTAGTTCAACTTTCATTACTTTGAGCATGAATTTGTATGCTTATTAACTTGGTGGTATTCTACATTGTCTAGCAAAGTTCTAATGGTCCTGTAAAGAAGTCTATGCGGGAGAAGGCTGTTGAGCGAAGAAATGTTAATAAAGAGCATAACAGTAACTTTAAAGCTGGCTATATTCCAATTGATGAAGATCGGCTGCATAAAACTGGCCTCAGAGGGAGAAAGGGCAATTTAGCCATCTGTGTGATTGTTCTCCTTTTTATCTTGGCTGTCATCAATTTAATTGTGAGTAAAACATACAGAATGTTTACTGTTTTCCATTATTAGCATAAAGTATTCATTTGTTCCTCTGATTTTTCGGTCCTTGGGGTCATCTGAACTGTTTCCTTCATTTCTTACAAGACAGATAAGGCTGAGGGAGTTGGTTGGTGGCTTGCCCAGTGTCACAGGGCTAGTAAATTGTGTAAAATAGTTGGAAGTTGAACTCAGGTCTTAGGATCATAGCGTCAGAAATAAAAGGGTAGTCATTAGGTCATTTAGCCCAACTCCATTTTATAGATAAGGAAGCTAAATTCAAAAGAGGTTAAAAGACTAGTTAGTCTTTTAGGTAGGAAGCAAAGCTAGGTTTTGGACCAACGTCCTGTATTTCCAAATCCAGTACACTTTCTGTTGACAATGCTGCTTCCCAAGAATATTTTCTGGCTCCCAATGCAGTATTCTTTCCACACCATCTTCTGTTTACTCTGTAATGAGTTAGTATTGGGAAATTACTTAATAAGAAGAGATAAATGTAATGGAACATTATTATGCCATAAGAAACAATGAATATGAACAATGTGAAAAATTTGGAAATACTTGTATGAACTTATACAAAGAAAAGAAAGAACCACCAAGAGTCCAATATACACAGTGACCAATGTTAAGGTGTAAATAACATAAAAAGACAGCTGAACTCACTTCAAACACACTGAACAATATTGGTTCCAGAAGACAAACAATGAAACACATCCTCCTCTCCATAGAGAAGTGAGAAACTACTGATGCAAAATGTCGTACGTATTGTCATTTCTACGTATTATACCCTTTACCATTCTCCGTTCATTCAGCTTAGTATTTAGGCATACCTTTTTCCTTTCCTAGTTATATTTAATATGTATATTGATTTCTTTGTTTCCCAGTACTTCATATGTTTTTACAAATTTATTTCATATTATTATTTAAATCACATTCTTTAAAAGTCTTTTATAAATACTATGCCATTTTTATGATCATAACATTTGTTCCCCATTTCTTTTAGAAAGCACTTATTTCTTTTTTTTGTTTTTGTTTTATTTGGGGAGACTTACAGCTTTTTTCCTCTTAGTTATGTCTGATGTTATGCTAAATGTAATAGTGTAATAGTTTATCTTATTTTTTAGATAACGCTTGTTATCTGGGCTGTGATCCGTATTGGACCCAATGGCTGTGATAGTATGGAGTTCCATGAGAGTGGTTTGCTGCGATTTAAACAAGTATCTGATATGGGAGTTATACATCCTCTTTATAAGAGCACAGTAGGAGGCAGACGTAATGAAAATTTGGTTATCACTGGCAATAACCAACCAGTAAGTTATCACACAATAATTAAAGCAAAAATGGGAGTGGGATGTCAGAGATAAATTATTTATTTAAAAATGCATTTTTATTACTGAGCATGGAGTGAGCATTAAACTATACAAATTCTTTAATCACTTCCAGCTCTATGATTTGTGGAGTTTTTTAGGAATAGTGTTGGAAGCCAAAATTTTTCTCTATTGAAAATCTGTAAATATTTTATTTTTACTAGAAAATCTAACCTTAATAGGGAAACATGATGTTTTCTTTAAATTCCATACTTTATTCTCTGACAACATATAATGATTATTTTTCCATGGAGAGTTTCAGTACTAAAATATTAAGAATATCCATTGTACTCATTCTGTCCTTCAGGTGAAGGTGGCTGTTATGTACCTTCTCGGTCCAGAAAACTTACACTGCTCAAAGATGCTTCCTGATGTAGTTTATTTCCAAGTATTTATTATCACATAGTCTTTCTCCTTTGCAAAGCTTCCAGGTACCATTAGGTACCTCTACAGATGTCTTTCACCACCCTAATGCTGAAGAGCCATGAACTGTTTGTTCCTAATAGGAGTAGTCGTTCCCTACTCCCTCGTTCCCTACTCCCTTACCCATTATGCAAGTACCCAAGATATCATTCTTTTCCATATAGTGCAAAATTAGGGCTGCAGAGAATCTCTCTAGTTTTTTGGGGGATGTTCTTAAGTATAATTCCATGGATTTTGTTTATGATATGTTTTGAAACTATATTCACCATAAAGTATGTTTCTAAAGATTGTTTTTCAGCAAGGAACAACGAAACTCAGTGTAGAAAAGAACAAAACTTCTATTACAAGTGACATTGGCATGCAGTTTTTTGACCCAAGGACTCAAAATATTTTATTCAGTACAGACTATGAAACTCATGAATTTCATTTGCCAAGTGGAGTAAAGAGCTTGAATGTACAAAAAGCATCTACTGAAAGGGTATGGATTTTATCTTTGCTTTTTATATGAATAACAGTGGTGGAGTTATTATCCAGTTCTTTAAAATGGAAGTAATGGTTTCATGTAATTTAGTATTGTACAAGGATGTATAGTTTAATATAGAGAGAAGAATACTGGGATATATTTCCTTTGGTAAGTCACTTAATCTCTTTGTCACTCTGTTTCCTCATCTTCAAAATAGACATCATAATGTCTACCTTGCAAAATTCCCAGGGAAATTCTTCCTTTTGAAATAAAAATTAATATCTCACAAACATAGGGTGACTATTTATGGTAATAATTCTCACACAGGTTTATAAGCCATATTTTAACACATTTCTTTGGTGTTTTTTTGCTTTCAGATTACCAGTAATGCTACAAGTGATTTAAATATAAAAGTTGATGGACGTGCCATTGTCCGTGGAAATGAAGGTGTATTCATTATGGGCAAAACCATTGAATTTCACGTGGGTGGTAATATGGAATTAAAAGCTGTAAGTGTATACTAAAAGAATTTAAAATTATTCTAATATGAGAATTTGTGAGACTTCATTTCCCTTTTGTTATTGTTAAATTTCCAAATTTTAAGAAATCAAAAATAAATTATTTGAAATTACTTATTCACATACACAGTTATGATTCCACAGCGTAAGAGAACAAATATCAAGTTCACAAAATATAGTTCTAGTCATACTTCCATTATCAAGATGAATGGTTTTTTAAAAGGCATCTGCATTGATCACATATATGCGCAGGGAATTATATTTAGATATCAGAAATGTATTTGAATTTTGTAACTTTTGTGTTTCACACCAGAGAACTGGGTTTTCCAAACACTTTCACATGCTCTCAATTCTAACCAGAGCATATTTATTCACTGGTTCTTTCATCAATTTCTTCTCTTATAATTCCTGGCTTCCTTCAAAGTTCAGCTTAAGTGCCACCTTCTATCTGAGTCCTTTGATGATTTCCCCCATTACTGGTGCCTTTTTCCCACCCCCACATTGTCTTGTTTAGACTTAGACATGTTGTTTCCCCCAGTAGAATATAGGAAGTGTTTCATCTTTGTCTTTGTATCCTTAGTCTACAGGACCTAGTAGAAAGTAAACAATAAATGCTTGTTGAATCATTGATTGAGCAAACTTTTATTAAGCATGTCCAGCGATTGTGCTAGGTGCTAGGGATACAGAGACAAACATGAAACAGTCCCTACCCACAAGAGCTTGACACTCTACTGATGGGAAGAAACAGCCACACTAATAATTAGTACAAAATATATACAAAGTAAGTGGGAAGTAATTTAAGGGAGAGGATACTAAGAATTTGGGGGATCAGGAAAGACTTTATGTAGGAGATAGACTTGAGCCAAGTCTTGTAGGAGGCTCAGGTAGAATGAGGAGACACTGTATTCCAGAACAGGGAGATAATCTGTACAAAGGATTGGAAACAGGAGTTGACTTGTCCTATATAGGAAAAAGCAAGTAAGTGGATTTGGCTGGAACATAGAATGTGTAAAAGGAATTATATGAATCAATAAGTAGTTCTTAAACAGCTATTCCTATGCTAGATATTGAGGATACAAATGCAGTGAATGAAACAGTTCCTGTTCGCAGGGCGCTTAAATTTCAATGGAGGAAAAACAAAGGATGGATAATGTATGTATGTATATGTCTGTGTGTGCACACACACATATAGATAGATATAGGTATAGATAGGACAGAACTTTGGGGAACAACCACAGAGAAGGACAGGATATAGAGACTGCAGAGAACTGGCTAGAGAGGTAGACGGAAAACCAAGAGAGAGCAGTGTCACAAAACCCAGGGAAGAGAAAGTTATCTAGGTGAAGGTGTAGCCCAAAGTGTCACTTGATAGAGGGATGGAAACTGAGGGAAAAAACATTGTATTTAACAATTAAGGGCAGATTTAACAATGGGCAGAGGTACCTTGGAGAGAGTAATTTGAGATTGTATGAAGGGGTTTGAATAATAAAACTTTTTCTGGAAATAAAAACAACCCAGCAATTAAATGCATTTGCTAATTATTCTTTCTTGTGGTAGATATTAGCCACCTTTAATAATCATTCATTGTCATTATTCGAATACTTATTGAGAACCTTCTGTGTCTCAGTTCATTAAAGTTATTTTTCAAAAAAAAATCAAGCAGCATAACCATATTTTATATCAAAAGGCAAGGAGTTACAAATAACTCTTAATATTCTACATAATTTGATAGTACATTTTTAAATAGGACTTTTGGGAACATGATATTATTTATTTTTCCTAAGCAATTTTTAAAGTATGTATGGCATGTTTCTCATGTTATAAGAGAATGACTAAAAATATGATTCTGCTAAGGAGTTAAGTAGCAGTAATGAACACTTTGAGTAGCCATTGCATTCAGTAATTTACATTGTTGATGGATAGGTACAGTAATGTTTTTATATGCATGTATTGTGTGTGTGTGTGTGTGTGTGTGTGTGTGTGTATAAAATAAAGGAGGAAGTAGGGTCATATCAGTCTTGAAATTCATGCTAAAATGAAACCAGAAAAAAGAATGGCATAGCTAAAGGAAAGAATGACAGTTCTTTCTTAGACAAAAAAGGATCAGCTCATGATGGCATACAGCTGAAAGGTAATTCAGAGATCTAGTCTAATCCTTCCATTTTGCAGATGAGAAAACTGAGGTCAAGGAAGTTAAGTAATATGTCCAAGGTCATCCATGTAGGATCAGTGGCAGAATTTGAGTTCTCATCCTTTGACTCTTGAGCCAGTACTTTTTCTATTATACCATGTTGATTACTGAAGTTTCTTTTATTGTGCACAAAAAAACCAAGCAGCATAATTTTGTGGGACATTTGCTCATCTAATATTCATACTAAGTATCTGCAAAAAGACCATTATGAAAAATAATTACAGAATATTAAACAACAGCTGTTGCAGAGGATGAAGAGATAGATAAATTTCTGTAAAGAACTCTATAAAGGTTCATTTGGATCTTCCTAATTAAGTCAACATCTACCTTGATACTTGAGGATAAGATAAATGATGATTTCTTTTTTATATTAATAATCAATTATTGAATTAAGACCAGGATTTTTCCATGAACCTGTGAGTCTTTCAGTCTCTGAAGGACATTGTTGATGAATAAGATTACCCAAATCCCTGGGGCATATGCCATTTGATCCTGGATGGGAGACTCCACCCAACTAGAGAACTTCACAAAAGAATTTAATGTAAGGTGAATTCTTTTCCTTTGTGTTCCACTCAGGCAAACTAGATTGCCCAAGGCTGGGGGTAGGTCTAGCTTGAGATAGTCTTTCTTTGTCCATGAGTGACATAATCAGTTAGGTCCCCCCCCCAGCCCCTCATTAGAATAGTTCCACTTCTCGTTATAATATTCATTCTCTCATTGTTAACCAGTCAGATTAATTGCCAACTTCAGTAACAGCCACTCTTCTGAGGTCATAAATTATTAATTACCCAGAAACTATGTCTCTTGAACTTTTTATATGTCACAGTTACTTCAGTGCACAGTAGACATAAATCAGAATGATGAGAATTTTTTTGCAGTACTTTTAAAAATTTTTTTGATTTTTTAATAAGCGTAAAAATTTTTAACATTTGTTTTTTATTTGAGTTCCAAATTCTCTCCCTCTTCTTTCCCCTCCACCCCATGGCAAGCAGTTTGATATAGGTTATACATGTGCAGTCATACAAAACATATTTCTACGTTAGTCATGTTGTGAGAGAAAACAGACCAAAAAAAAAAGATTTTAAAAAATTTTTATTTTATATTTTATTTTTCCCCAATTATATGTAAAAACAATTTTAACATTCATTTTTAAAACTTTAAGTTCCAAATTCTCTCCTTTCCTTCCCTTCCCACTCCCCCCCATTGAGAAGGCAAACAATTCAATTTATGTTATACGTGTGTAATCATGCAAAACACTTCCATAATAGTCATGTTGTGAAAAATTAACTCTATTTCCCTCCATCCTGTCTACCCTTCCCGTTTCTTCTCTGTTTTCTATTTCCTTTCACCATATCCTACTTCAAGAGTGTTTTGCTTCTGACTACCCTTTCCCCAGTCTGCCTTTCACCACACCCCTTCTCTTGTCCCATTCCCCCTGCTTCCCTGTAGGGTAAAATAGTTTTCTATATCCAATTGAGTGCATATATTATTCCCTCTTTGAGCTAGTTCTGATGAGAGTAAAGTTCACTGACTCCGTCTTACCTCCTCCCTCTTCCTCTCTACTATAAAAGCTTTTTCTTGCCTCTATTTTATGTGAGATGATTTACTCCACTCTACCTCTCCCTTTCTCTTTCTCCCAGTATATTCCTCTCTCCTTAATTTTATTTTTTAGATATCATCCATTCATATTCAACTCACACCTGTGCCCTCTGTCTATATGTACTCCTTCTGACTACCCTAATAATGAGAAAAGTTTTATGAGTTACAAATATCATCTTTCCATGTAGGCATGTAAACAGTTTATTAAGTTCCTTATGATTTCTCTTTTCTGTTTACCTTTTCATGCTTCTCTTGAGTCTTGTATTTGAAAGTCAGATTTTCTATTTGGCTCTGGTCTTTTCTCAAGAATGCATGAAATTCCTTTATCTCATTAAATACCCATTTTTCCTCCTTATAGATTATACTCAGTTTTGCTGACCAAGTGATTCTTGGTTTTAATCCTAGCTCCTTTGCTCTCTGGAATATCCAGTCCCTCCGATCCTTTCATGTAGAAGCTGCTAAATCTTGTGTTATCCTGATTGTGGCTCCACAATACTTGAATTGTTTCTTTCTGGTGTGCTTGCAGTATTTTCTCCTTAACCTGGGAACCCTGGAATTTGGCTATAATATTCCTGGGAGTTTTCATTTTAGGATCTCTTTCAAGAGGTGATCGGTAGATTCTTTCAATTTCTCTTTTACCCTCTGGTTCTAGATACTTGATAATTTCCTGAAAGATGATGTCTAGGCTCTTTTTTTAATCATGGCTTTCAGGTAGTTCAGTAATTTTTAAATTCTCTCTCCTGGATTTATTTTCCAGGTCAGTTGTTTTTCAGATGAGTTATTTTACATTGTCTTCTGTTTTTTCATTCTTTTGGTTTTGTTTTATGATTTCTTATATAGTCATTAGTTTCCATTTGTTCCATTCTAATTTTTAAAGAATTACTTTCTTCAGTGAGCTTGTGGACCTGCTTTTCCATTTGGCCAGTTCTGCTTTTTAAGGTGTTCTTCTCCTTATTGGCTTTTTGGGCCTCTTGTACCCATTTGGCTTCATCTGTTTTTTAAGGTGTTTTTTTGTCAGTATTTTTATGTGTCTCCTTTACCAGGCTATTGACTCATTTTTCATGATTTTCTAGCATCACTCCCATTTCTCTTCCCAATTTTTCCTCTGCTTCACTTACTTGATTTTCAGAATCTTTTTTGAGCTCTTCATGGCCTGAGACCAATTCACATTTTTGTTGGAGGCTTTGGATATAGGAGTTTT